AATCAAATGCTATAATGCAAATTTGTCATGTGACCAGAGCATAATAGAGTATGTGTTCCCAATTGTTTAATTTTGGATAAATCAATAAAACCAATTTATCATATCAATGAATCGCAATAGAGATGATTAACATAAACTTGTGTTATACAAATTAGCCAATACTCAATGCTGTTAATCTGAGGAGAACACAGGTTTATAGTGAAACTTTCAATTTTAAGACTGCTACAAAGTGCGGTCTTTGAACAGTATGTCTGATAGTCTGTACTTTTACATTGTAGACTTCACTACATGGCGTTGACCTGAATGTAAGGGTTCTAACGACAGGTTTCTGGCCAACACAGTCTGCAACTCCTAAGTGTACTGTGCCAGCACAGGCCAGAACTGCATTTGAAGCATTCAGAAGGTAAGTTATCTTTATATTATACTCATTTATTATGATAATAGGAAGCTGAGTGTATATTGCTTTTGCCTGGATAGGATTTGAATCCACACACATCAAGACAATTAAAGTGTGATAGGATCCTGACTATTTGTTACCCTTGCTAGTGTACCAAGGTTTTGTATGAATTCTTGTTGAATGTTAGTAAGCTGTCTATCTTACACAGGTTTTATCTTGGTAAGCATAGTGGTCGTCAACTAACACTACAACCATCACTGGGATCAGCTGATCTGAATGCTTCTTTCTTTGCACCAAAGAAGGTAAGATTATGATTACCAAAACCGTTCAGTTTGTCTGTATTGCTAGAATGTAACTGTAATTATACAATAAATTTTATTAATACCAACAGTTAGATTCATCCAAATATTTTTACTTCTGACAGGATGGTTCAGGAGGGCCACAAATAAGAAAACATATTCTACAAGTCTCAACTTATCAGATGGTTATATTAATGTTATTTAACACAAGGGAACAGTGTTCTTATGAGGTAAGTTCATTTTTGAATTGGAACAGTGACCATAATGCCACCCCGATACAGATTTTGACATTTTTTTAGCTCCGCTGTCGACTTTGTCAAGCCAGAGCTTATCGTATGAGTGATTGTCCGTCGGCATCCATGTCAATGTTTTCCTTTTTCAACTTTTTCTTGAAAACTACAAGTCTGAATGCTTTGATACTTGGTGTATATGTACCTTGGGTAGACCTCTCTCAGATTTGTTCATTTCATGATGATCTCTTCAATTCTCTAATTTTTGACTCCCATGTGTGAAGCACAAAATGGGAGTCTTTGCAGTTAGTGTGTCTGTATGTATGTGTGTGTGTGTGTGTGTCTGTTCCACTGATATCTCAAGAACCATACATCAGTTTTTGATGAAACTTGGTGCACAGATGCTCTGGGCCAATGCGCAGATTTGATTAGGTTTTGGTAAAATTCCATGCATATTAATTACCTAATTTGCATGATAATTAGCTGATTTTTAGCTGTTTTATGACTTTTCCACTGATATCTAAACAACCACTCATTGGATTTTGATGAAACTTGGTACATAGATGCTCTGAACTAATGCTAGGTTTTGATTAGTTTTTGGTAAAAATTACCTACCGTTAAAGTCCTAATATAAACCGCATACGTAATAGTAACCGCACCCCCAATTCCGGCTTCAGGGTTGAAGAGTTCTTAACAAAAATTGAAAACATGAAAAGTGCCTATTACTAACCGCACCCCTAATTCAACAAGACCGTGACTGACTTCATTGTTTCAACCAGCTGGTCCAAAATGGCATTGTTCCTAAACCTATTCATTTGTTTCGACAACGTGCCTAAAAATATTCACACCTATTTATTGTTCACCGGTGATAGGATGTCAGACAAGCAATGAAACTGCTTTTGTTCTGGCGGCAACCCCCGGCGGCAACCTCTGTCAATACTCTTTCTGAATACGTCTGTGTTTCGTAAGTTTTCGACAATGAGCTGTTATCACCGTAAAAGTGTTAAATTCTTCTTCAATGCTCAGTTTATCTTTTGAAAACAAATAATTTCTTGATTTACAAAAAAAATCATGTTTTCCCATGGAAATCAAAGCCAAGACATCGCACTACATTATCGGTAAATCTCTTCCGTGTTCACCATGAGGTCGCTGACTTTCATTAACATATTTAAATG